GGGAAAGAGGACGAGATGACCTCAAGGATTTTTCCACAAGCAACCGGAAAAATGGAGTTGCTGTCTGAGTCCGGGTAATCAAGGGTTCAGCTTTGGACAGTGAGTGGCGTTCAAATGTAATTATTATGAATTGCGCCCTGGCAGGGCAAAGTGACGAGAGAATACTTGCATTTTTAAATTTTTATTTTGAGAGAGAGAGAGAGAGAGAGAGAGAGAGAAGGAGAGGGGCAGAAGGAGACAAAGAGAGAGAGAGAGAATCTTAAGCAGGCTCCATACTCAGCATGGAGCCTGACGCAGGGCTCGATCCCATAACCCTGGGCTCATGACCTGAGCTGAAATCAAGAGTCACTCAACTGACTGAGCCACCCAGATGCCCCAAAACAGCACTTTTTTTTTTTCCAACGTTTATATTTATTTTTGGGACAGAGAGAGACAGAGCATGAACAGGGGAGGAGCAGAGAGAGAGGGAGACACGGAATCGGAAACAGGCTCCAGGCTCTGAGCCATCAGCCCAGAGCCCGATGCGGGGCTCGAACTCACGGACTGCGAGATCGTGACCTGGCTGAAGTCGGACGCCTAACCGACTGCGCCACCCAGGCGCCCCAAGACAGCACTTTTAAGACCAGAGTTATTTTTCCTCTTTGGTCCCTCCCTGGCATCTCCTCCCCACCCCACCACCAACTTCACGTTAGCATCAGTTACCTTCTCCGGTGATGGGATTCATGTACCTTAAGGTACATGAGTCGGGGGGCGGGGAGCAGAGAGAGGAGGTACCTACCCTGGTACTCCAATTACAGACCTTGGCAGCGAGAGGCAAGCAGCCGCTCTGGGCAGAGCTCATCAGCACTGGTTGCTCCCAGTGAGAAAGCAGCAAGAGTTTCTTCTGCTGGCATCTCTCTGATCATTAGTAATTGCCCTAGGGAACCTAGTGGACACAGTTCTTATCAGTAAAGCAGCACCTGGCAGGTTTTGCCGTCTGAGACCATGAACCAGAGAGGAAGAAGAGCAGACTCTGCTCTGGGAAGGTGAGAAACATCTCACGTTAACAGGTAAGAAAAGTTATCTTCATTCCTTGCCTTTTTTTTTTTTTCTTTTTAAGTCTCATAGAATTTTCTAGAATTCTGCTTGGGTACAGACAGCTGTTTGCTGTAACAGTGAGTATTACGAGGTGACTGTTTATGTTGTCAAGGAAGCAGGTTTTGCTCCTCAGGAGGAAGGTAAAGAGAAATTTGTCACATTCACTGTGGAGCCTAACCATACCCCACATGGACCGGCACGAACATCAGTGCATTACAGTGGATTGTGCTCACTGTCCTTAACTGGCTGTTGCTATGGAATTTTGTCTCCGTAATCAGAGCCTCTGCCTTGATAATTTGATTGCACTTAAAAAAAAAACAACAAAAAAAACCCCCTTGAATTGGTGTAAATCCTGATAACATCACGAGAGGGCTTTTGATTAATGCAAAATTAAAGCTCTTTCAGAAGCATTAATTGAATAAAAAGAACACTATTCGAAGAGCTTTAAGGACATCCCAAACCATTTGAAGATAACAGACTCTACAGCCGTTATCTTAAAATCTGGTTAATTAAAGTACTAAGTGTCATCAACTATTTTGACTTCGGGGTACTTTATTTATATTTGTTTCTATCTAATTTTCTTGTTGTCCTGGCCATTAAGTATCTGTTCTTCTTTTCTCACACTGCCCAGGCACGTTAGCAGGAAAAGAAACCCTAGAGTATTTCCAGCTCAGTCTTTCAACCCATCCTTCTTCCTGGCCAAGTGTTGATGAAGTATCGTGACCCATTAAAAGTGACCCATTTCGGGCGCGTGGGTGGCTCAGCCAGTTAAGCAACTGACTCTTGCTTTCTGCTCGGGTCATGATCTCGCGGTTTGTGAGATCAAGCCCTGCGTTGGGTTCTGTGCTGATGGTTGTGGAGCCTGCTTGGGATTTTCTCTCTCTCCCTCTCTCTGCCTCTATCTCTCTCTCAAAATAAAAAAATAAACATTTAAAAAGGTGATCCATATTTTCTGAGGTGGCTAAGATACAATGTGCCTTTAGCTCAGCAGAAGGATGTGACAGAAACAACCGTGAACATAGTATTAAATTAGTATCTATATTGACAAACAATACGCTTAAAATTTGCTGCCACAGTTACCATCTAGGAGGCTTAGTGTCATAGCTCGTAGGAGACCCACATTGCCTAGACGTTTAGAAAGCTCATTACCTTACAACATCCATTTGCTGGTAGGGAGTGCTCCAAAGCTGGTTAAATCAACAACACAAAAGCGTCATTTAACACAAAATATCCTTTCCGACCTCCTTGTTCGGGCTTTGGGCCTCACATTTATCTGGGTTGCATGTGGTTATGGCATCTCCAATCAGAGTCGCCACGTCTGAGGCAAAGGAAAACCTCGGTGTCCCCCTTTTCTTCACTTTTTAAATTTCTTCTTCTTTTTTAAAATTTATTTTGAGTGAGAGAGAGAGAGAGAGAGCCAGCGTATGAGTGGGGAAGAGGGAGAGGGGGAGACAGAATCCCAAGCGGGCTCCACGCTGTCAGCCAAGAGCCTGACGTGGGGCTCGAAGTCACCATCAAAGTCGCCAACGGTGAGATCGCCAAACTCAAGTGTGGGATGCTTAACCCACTGAGCCACTCAGGCACCCCTCTCCACTTTCTAAACGCATGAGGCCTTTCCCAAAAGCCACGCGGTGCACTTACACTCACATCTGATTGGCCAAGTTGTGTCACGTGCCTATGACTAAGCCCAAACCAGCAAGGACAAAGGCGGTTACCTTTGTCGTCTTGCCTCTCAGGATTCCCCCCCCCTCCCCCATTGAGACGAGGGAGGAGCCCTGCCTTTCATGAAGGGCACGCCCCCTGGACACCCACCGCAAAGGCAGAGTTCTGTCATTAAAGAAAGGGTGGGGACAGAGGGCTGCTGGGGGAAGTGCACGGGCCCTCTCTGGATTTCTTCCCATCTTTTTAGCTGCTCATCTGTAGCCCTTTTCCTTACGTCTCTTCCTCTGCCTGTCCTTGAAATATCCGGGATTCCTCAGGGCTCAGCTGGGCCCTCTTCCCTTCTCTGTGTGTCCTCTCTGCTTAGAAAATCCTATCCAGTCCTGTGGCTTGAATTGCGGTTTACACGCTGGCAACCCTCCAGACTGCTATCGTCAGCCCATACCTCTCCTCTGAGCTCCACACTTGGCATCCAACTCCCCACTCAACAGCTCTACTTCTGTGCCTCAGAAGCATCTCAGACACGTACGTCCCAAACTGAACTTTTAATTTCCCCCCCAACCAGCCCCTCTGCAGGCCTTCGCATCCTAGAGAACAGCACCTCCCTCTACCCAGTGTTTCAGAACAGATGCCTGGGAGTCAGTCTCGACACTCACCTTCCCTAACTACCCATCACAACTACTTTTCTTCTGTTCAACATGGCAGCTAGCACGGGCCCAAGGGTTCAGCCCACAGTGGGCGCTCAACAAACATTTGCTGCAAATTGATTGGATGTGCTAATGCAGCACATACCTTGATTGGAGAATGGAAATGGGAAGGTTAGAAAGGGCTTGAGGGTAATAATGGGTGGCATTCTGATAAAAGATGTTCATTCTGGGGTAAATTGAAAGGCACCTTCACAGTGCCCTCTGACAGGTGTAATGGCGTCTTCCTCCCCAGTTCAAACAGAATGCCACCAATCTTTTTCTTTTTTTTGATGTTTATTTATTTATTTTGAGAAAGAGAGATAGAGAGCAAGCAGGGAAGGGACCGAGAGAGAGGGCGACAGAGAATCCCAAGCAGAGATGCGGGGCTCGGACTCATGAACGGTGAGGTCGTGACCTGAGCTGAAATCAAGAGCTGGACCCTTAGCCAACTGAGCCAGCCAGGTGCCCCCCCACCAATGTTTTCGACAGGACTTGCATGAGCACTAAAGGAGTGGTGGCCATGGAATCTTCTAATTTATTCGGATTTCTCTCAGAAGCATTGGCCTCCATCGTGCTCCTGGTAGCAAAACCATGTTTGATAGTGAATGCACAATGAGGGCCCAATGGGAAGTGAAATTGTGACGAAACCTGCATTTTCTCTCAAGAAGCCTTGGGTCAGTGACTAATGAACTGTTCAGCTGAGGGATGTTATTCTTGTCTTTGCCGTCATTAATGATGCTGATACACCGTGATGTTGGACAGATGGAGAATTACACCAGTCAGCTACTGCTGCATAACAAGCACCTGTGACATCTTGAGGAGCACTTACTTCCCACGCATCTGCCGCTTGGCTGCAGTGGCTCATCTAGGTTGGGCATTGCTGGGATAGTTCTTGGCGCCGTCACTCTAGCTGGGTGTGACAGGGATGACTCCGTTCCACTTGTATTTATCCCGGGTCCCAACTGAAGGGGCAGCAATTCTCAAAGGAAGTTCTTTGCACGGTGATGGCAACAAAGGCACGACAGGGAAAATGCAAACATTTGAAGCCTCTTAAGTCGTGGGCTCAGAACTGGCACACTGCCACTTTGGCCAACGAGGCAAAGCAAGCTACAAGACCCAGAGCGGTACGGGGACGCCTTTTGTGGAAAGATCTACTGGGTTACAGGGCAGACAGCATGGATGTGGGGGAGGGGTGATGAATCAGAACAATGTTTCAATCTTCCTGCTTGTATACTACACATCAAAGAAAACGGAAGAGAAATCGCGGGTTCAGCTTGAACTAATCAAGCCCGGGGTAGGGCTGAATTTCCTCTGTTCCCATCTGCTTGTCACTGTAATTCAAGCTACACCTTACGGTCCCTTTGTAGTAGGCTATCCAAAATGATATCCATCCCTCCCAAAGCCATTCCGTTAGTTATCTATTCAGGAATGCCCAGACAACTTCCCAGGCTGGTGCCCTGGATGTTGGTTCCTCTGGTACGGTTGTTATGGGAAACATTTCATTCCACATCTGCTGACACGATTTGCTGTCTCTCTAATTTTTTTTTTAAAGGAGAAAAAGAGAGACTCATATTCTGATGGCTGTAAAGGATAATGAGTAATTTATTCAGAGCTATATACAAATCAGACTATCATCTTCCAGACAGAATCAATAATATAATTTTAAGCCCACACACATTTACAAATGCTAACGCTCCAGCGCAGCTGGGTTGCCATGGGCAACCAGGGCATGCCAGCTCGTGATCTGAGACGGGCCCATGTCTCCCAGCCTGGTAAGCACATTCTGCAGACAGAATCCAAGGGAGCCAAGGATGTTAGTGTTGGCTCTGATCTGGCCGCCGCACAAATGCACCCCTGTGATGGTTTGGATTAGTTCTTGATTGAACTGCTCAGCTTTTTTAAAGCTCCTATTTGCACAGGACTTCTTCAGTACCTCTTCTGTGTCTGTGTTTAAGCAGGTTGGGGGATGGAGTGGGGAGTGTGAAAGGAGCTGTGTGGGGTAGAGCAGGTGACGAGAAGCTCTGCCATGGCCGCTAAAGGTCAGAACAGCGAAGGGCGGTACTCAGGTCAGAGGTGAGGGAGCAGTCTGGTTAGTCAACTGGAAAAGCGGGCCCCGTGGGTCTTCTCCAAAAGAGGGCCTGATCAGATGTTGGGAGCTGACCTATGTTGGCTGGGAAGACAAGAGCCAGAAACAAAAAGTCACGAAGGGAAAGGAGAAGGTGGTCGAGCACAGGCAAATAGTGGGAATGTGGTGAGAGGCAGGCAGGCCCCACTAAAAGGGCCGCAGGAAGGGAGGACACACAGGAATGGTCCATGATGGTTCCATTCAAACATGTCGGCACAGGGGTGCCTGGGTGGCTCAGTCTGTTGAGCGTCTAACTCTTTTTTTTTTTTTTTAATGTTTATTTATTTTTGAGACAGAGAGAGACAGAGCATGAATGGGGAGGGTCAGAGAGAGGGAGACACAGAATCTGAAGCAGGCTCCAGGCTCTGAGCCATCAGCCCAGAGCCCGACGCGGGGCTCGAGCTCACAGACTGTGAGATCATGACCTGAGCTGAAGTCGGATGCTTAACCGACTGAGCCACCCAGGCGCCCCGAGCGTCTAACTCTTGATTTCTGCTCAAGTCGTGATCCCAGGGTCGATCCCAGGGATCGAGCCCCACGCCAGGCTCCATGCTAAGCGTGGAGCCTGCTTAAGAGTCTCTCTCTCCTTCTGCCCTTTCCCCCACTCATGCTCTCTCTCCCCTTCTCAAAATAATTTTTAAAATGTCAATACAAACCGAAATTCACTGCCATAGGGGTCTGAGTTAGCTCGAGCAGCCACAACGGAATACCACAGACCGGGTGGCTTAAACAGCATATATGGATTTCTCGTGCTTCTGGAAGCTGGAAGCCCAAGCATCAGGGTGCTGGCATGGTGGGCACCGTGGGATTCTTGCTGAGGCATCTCTTCCCGGTTTATAAACAGTCAACTTCCTGGGTACTCACATCACGGAAAAACCGATCATCCCTGTTGCGTTTCTTTTTATAAGAGCACGAATCCACTCACCGAGGTTCTACCCTCATGACCTTGTTACCTCCCAAGGGTCCAGTCTCCAAGTACTAGCACACCGGGGGATCAGGGCTTCCGCACGCGTATTGGGTGTTCCCAATTAGGGATGTTCCCGGTGAGAGAGCCACTGATATTCACAAAAATCATGAAAACATTTAGAATTAGGTGGTGTTTTGTGATGTTATGACATGACTTGTCCCCCATCACTGGCCCTAATCTTGGTCAGAATCAAAGAAAAGCTGACAGAGAGACCTGGGCTGTATCCCACCCCCACCACTGGACAGCAGCAGGCCTGGACTTGTTCTACCTCAGTTTAGACACCTGCGACACTGAAGAGGTGCCTCAGGTGCAAACCACGTGAGCAGAAGGTCTTTGAGGAGACAAGTCCTGTGCATCCCGCGGCTGGGGGGGGAGACCTGTAAGCCAGAGGGTTTATGTGAGTTGGTGTGGAAACCCATCAGAAGATTCTTTTCTTCCCCCCCTACCTTTCTTTAAGTGAGAACATTTAGGTTCTACTCTCTCAACAAATTTCAATTATACAATACAATGTCATCAACTGTCGTCACCACGGTTATACATTAGATCCTCAGACCTTATAACTGAAAGTTTGTATCCTTTTACCAAACTCTCTCCCTGTTTTCCCCACCTCCATCTCCTGACAACCACTGCTGTCTCCTCTATTTCTACGAGTTTGACTTTTTTTTTTTTTTTTAGATTCCACATTTAATTGGTACCAGGCAGTATTTGTCTTTCTCTGTCTGGCTTATTTCACGTAGCATGATGCTCTCCAGGTTCATCTGTGTTATTGCAAAAGACAGGATTTCCTTTTTTGTTTCTTTTTTCTTTTGGAGAAACATCCAGAAGTGGTATTGCTGGATCATACGATATTTTTATTTTTAATCTCTTGAGGAACCTCCATACCGTTTTCCATAGTGGTTGTGTCTGTTTATATTCCCACCAGTGGGGCACGAGGGTCCCTTTTCTTCGCATCCTTGTCCACATTTGTCATCTCATCTCTTTATAATAAGACATCCTAACAGGTCTGAGGTGATGGGAATCTTTAAAATGCAGCAGAGAAGTGATAAAAAGTCCTTGGGACACCAGCTGATCCGAGAAAGACAGACAAGAAAATTAAGGTCACGGAAGTTACATAATTTGCCCGTGGGCAGAAAACCAGAGAGTGGCAGGTGGGCAGTTCCGTAGGGCAGTGGGGAGCTTCGAGCAGAGGGTGGCGTGAGGAAAGGGTCTGCAGGCAAGTGGATCTGGGCTCGAGAAGAATCAGGGATGGGAGCTTCAAGAGTCAGGGAGACCCAGAAACCACCAGGTTGGGGGGGATGGGAACAGAGAATAACAGGATTGAATGACTTGGTGGGTCGGTCAAGAGGACACATGGCCAGAAAGGGGGCACAAGATGACTACCCTCCCGCGTTTGGGCAGCTATTCAAACGGTGGTTCTGCTCCCAGGAAAGTGAGGAGAAGGAAGAATTAAAAAGGTCTTGGGGCGCCTGGGTGGCTCAGTCGGTTAAGCGTCCGACTTCAGCCAGGTCACGATCTCGCGGTCTGTGAGTTCGAGCCCCGCGTCAGGCTCTGGGCTGATGGCTCAGAGCCTGGAGCCTGTTTCCGGTTCTGTGTCTCCCTCTCTCTCTGCCCCTCCCCCGTTCATGCTCTGTCTCTCTCTGTCCCAAAAATAAATAAACGTTGAAAAAAAGAAAAAAAAAAAAAAGGTCTCAGACTCGGGGACCGGGCAGCTGGTTCAACGGTGGGGCCATCCCAGGGAAATGAGACTAGAAGAGCTCTCGGCATGCTGGACCCAGGAGCCATAAGGATGGAAGCCATCTCTCCAAAAGGAGAGACCCTGCAGTCCGGGAAGTGAAGGCTGCCCGGGATTCTGGGAACAGTGGAACCCCCACCTCCACCTCCCAAACTTCATGCAAGGGCATGCACCAATGTCTCTGGCTCCAGGCTTTGCCTCTGGCTCTTCTCTCCCTTGTGCTCAAGTCTTCAGGCTTCCAATCGCCCAAGATCTGTCCCCCAAACCGGATCCTTTTTTATTAACGTGTGTGCATTAGCTCCTCTGAATTGCTGACCTTGAGCATCACCATTAGGTGCTTGGCTCCCCGGGCACGCGATCGACAGTGACGCTGACATTTCTGAGAAGAAGACACTCTCCACACAGCCTTCCCTGCCTCCACTCACGCTGCAGTGACCACCGTGGGGCGGTGTCCCAGGCGGGTCTCCAGCGCTCCAGACCTCTACTTCTGGTCGTCTGGTAGATCTCTCTTCCTGGCTATCTCAACAGGAGCTTTGATTCAGTATGATCTTGAGTGGCACGTCTTTTTCCTTTCGCCATGGTTTTCTAATAGCCTCTCCCCATGTATCTCGTCCAAAACCCGGAGCCATCCTTCACCTGCCCCACAACAAAGTCACGGAAGTCTGTTACTTCAGACATCTACCATCATCTCCACTCCCGCTACTGCTGTGGTTCAGGCCCTCTACAGTTTTCTGTGGACTCCTGCAAACACATTCGGTCCCTTCTAATCTTTCCTCTTGCTACAGAGAGAAGGGTCTTTCTAAAGTATCTTGCTGGCATTGGCTCTCCGTTGTTTGAGGATGAAACCTCCTTAGTGTGACATACACGCTCCTTCAGGATCTGACCCCCACTAATTTTTTTGCCCTTGTGTCTTTCATCTCCCTGCTCAACTGCGTGGAGCTCCCTGACGACATCCAGCATCCATCTCGCTCTGGCCTCTGCACTGGTCTACTTGCTCTGGCTCTTCCTGGAAGGCACTGCCCTTCTGGTCTTCCTGGAACGAATACTTCTCTCCCCAATGGCTTCTCCTTTGGGAAGCACCTCCCCACCCGGACCCGTCCAGCCAGAGTTAAGTGCTTCCTCTCTGTCATTATAGTGCTCCCCTGCAACATGGCATTTATTGCAGTGTTAAAATCATTGGCTCACCTGTCTGTAATCTCTTTTGTCTTTATAGCGCCAAGATCTGATACAATGTCCGGTATAGGTCTTGCGCTCAACAAATGCTGGTCTCGGTAAGAGAATGAATGAGGAAATGAACAGAGTTTCAGCGACGCTGTGCCACCCACACCCACCCTCATTCTGAAGGGTCACTGCTTCTAGAACTCAGGAGCTGGTAGACGAGCTGCAGGTTTGGGGAGTATAGATTCTGCTAAGCTGGATAATAAGTAGATTAACAATAATGTTTAGAACCCAAATGGAACCTAGAGATTCCTTAGCCCACTTTCTCATTTTAGGGGACATGACTGATTAATGATGGGCTGCTGGAAATCTTTCTACCTCACCCAACCAGCCGTGGGCAAGAGGGTCGGGGGCCCTTGGTCCATCTCATGTAGGATAGGAGGGGGCAGGACAAGCCTTAATAACAATAATAACGCAACAATAACAATAGCTAATATGAGCAGAGCACCAACTCTATGTCTTGCACTGCTCTAAATACTTGACATACACTTTTTCCATCTCACGTTTACTTTTTACCCTGGGGGTTAGGTACTAGGATCATGATCATTTCACAGTTGGGGAAATTAAGCTTCGTAAGCCAAGTAGCTGTATCTCTAAACGCTACCATCCTTTAAAAAAAAAAAGGGGGGGCGCCTGGGTGGCTCAGTCGGTTGAGCGTCCGACTTTGCTCAGGTCACGATCTCACGGTCGGTGAGTTCGAGCCCCGCATCAGGCTCTGTGCTGACAGCTCAGAGCCTGGAGCCTGCTTCAGATTCTGTGTCTCCCTCTCTCTCTGGCCCTCCCCCCATTCATGCTCTGTCTCTCTCTGTCTCAAAAATAAATAAATGTTAAAAAAAAAAAAAAAAAGGATTGTACTTCTGCAATGTTTCCATATCCTGGCCTACTCTCTTCCCTTTGGCTTCCTCCTGCAGAGGTCCAGGGCCCTCACTTCAGTTATCCAAGGTACTTCATTTAAATGCCCATGTTCCCATAGCATCCCTACTCCTTCTCTCTTCCACTACTCATCCAAATCCTACTCAACTCAGTTCGCCTCGGCTCTCTTTCCCCTCCCCTCCTCATATCCGGGAAAAGCCTGGTTTGGCTGTTTGTGGTGTAAGACCCACCACTGTCAGGGAGGTTTTGTTCCAG